CACACACACACACACACACATATACGTATATATGTTTGTTGGTTGCCATTCTTCGATTTTCCCGACGTATGATATTGTCTCCGTGGCTGTGCGTCTGTTCGATGCTAATTCTGACGATGAGGGAGAAAGAGAGCGAGAGATAGAAGGATAGAGGCAGACGTTACGGACGAAAATGAAGTCTTTGATGGAATACTCTCGCCCTCGCTGTCGTCGAATAGATCAAATGTCATTATCAAATGACATTTTTTTCGAAAAGCAGACGAGGAACAACGTGGCGTGGACTTGTAATTAGAACCTTTCCTCAGCCGAATCATATTTGATAGCTTCACGATATCCCGTGTTTCTCTCTCTCTCGTTTTTCGTTTCTCTCTCTGCTTAATTAACGTTCCTTCATTTGTACTGTTACTGAACAGTTAACTTGCAGACAATCTCTACAAATATATTCTTTTTGCGTTTTGTACGAATCATTTTGAGATTTTTGTTATCGACTATGTTGCTCGCGAGAATTCTACAGAAATTGCAAGATATTTACATGCATTTTGCAAAAAACACGAAACAATCTATCTAAACGGTCAATTATTCATTAAACTTCAATGTTCTTAATACCACTAATACTGTATATTTACTTTGACACTTTACATTATACTTTCTCGCTCGGCGTATTTTTATAATTAGTTTCAAAGACCAATGTAATCACTGCACTGTTCGTGAAATTTCAAATTCAGAAGGTACGTATACAATACGTATCGTATACCTTTATGAACTAGCGCAATTGAAGCGAATTTCATTATCCACAAATTAACTTCGTCCATTCGTTTACGTGGCAATTATTGCCAAACTCAAAGAGTCTTTTATACCTCGCGGTACAACGTCCCTCCTCGTGGGCCACGGAGGTAAATATGCAAAACAGCAGGTAACGAAAGATATCAAGGATAATTAATAATTGCGATAGTCGGCCGATGAATTCGTTATGAAAATTCCTTTGTCCACCTTGCCTTGAACAACGCAGGTTGCTGTACAATTCATGTTTGCCGAGGCAAAATTCACGGTACGAGGGAGCCGGAAGACTGCGATGGTACAGTAACATTTCTAAAATTAACCACGAAGCCTGCCGCCGAGCGCAATCTACATTCGTAAAATCTAGAATTAAAATGTCACCTACAAAATTTATCTCCCTCGTTGGACGCGTTGAATTCGTCGCATCTGCTTGATTCGATTGATCAAGTGCAATCTCCATTAATGAAACTTTCATCACCATTTGTTTTTAGAGAGAGACGTTACCCCAGATAATGCGGCCCGGAAACGAGGGTACATAATAGAACAATTCCCTGCTCGATAGATTCTCAACTTCGCCATTTCGTTCACTTTGTTCTCGCAGGCTGGCCATCGTTGAATACTTCGACTTTCAGAGAAAAGTCGAAAGTCAGTCAGGGAACTTTGTTCCCAACAGTTGCCATTTGAAACAAGCGTAAATCTCATTTTGAGCGAACGATGGCAGCGGCCGGATCATCTACTCCAACCCTTTGTGGCTCGTGCAATAATTTCCAATGTGCAAATCAGCAAGCTTTGCATTGTCAGACGAAACGGGATTTTAGATGCGAGTCAGACGAACGAGACGAGATGCGAGTTTTTTTTTTTCAAAATAGAAACCCTCTCGAGGTTTCTTAAATTGGAATAAATTAAAATGAAATTAGAATCGCTGAATGCGGAAGATAATAACAGACAGACTGTCGATTGTAATCTGTAGGAAATATTAAAGATACGAAATTTCACGGAATGTAGGTAATATGAGAAAACACAGAGACGTCCTTCTAATTTTTGGTATCTTCTGTCGAGGTCCTAACTATATTTCAGAAATATGAATTTGCACAAGAATCTGCAGTTTGAAAGAAAAGGCAGGGAAACAAAAATAACGATGGATCTATGGTTTCCCTGTTGACGTCTATGCAACTTCTCTTCCCGTCTTCTAATACACACTGTCATTTCTCTTTCCTGTCTCGTGAGTTTTCTCCTTGTCGACCTATCCTTCTTTCATTTTTCATTCTCCCTCGCCTCTCACGATCAGTTTCGTGCAATTCTATAGTTAATCAAGATCAATTTACGATGCTAC